CTGCAGTTGCCACAGAAAAGCGGATGTTAGAGATTGAATGTCACCTCTTTCTTTAAAAGGAAGAGAGAAAGGGGGAAGAAACAGCATAGAAATTAAGTAGAGAAAGCTATTTGGATTGCAACGTCAAAGACTTGAAGCTTACAACATTCCAGACTTGATTTTAAATACTGTCTTAATTCTGTTCTGATGTCTGCAGGATGGTGTCTGTTCATACAGTCACTTACTGTTACCTGGTGGTTTCAGACAAGACCAAGCTAAATGGGGAATCGTGGCTTCCTCGTTGAATGGTCCTCTTGTCACCTGGTTCATTGAAGCTTGTGTTTGGTGTTGCAGAATTAGTCTTGAATTGTATTAACAGGTGGGTTTAATTAGGCTGGGATGTAAAAGAGATTGGAGCTTCCCTCAGAGCTGGAGGAAATTAGGCAGGTTTTAGATACTGAGGTCTTAGAACAGTTGTATGTAAGAGGGAAAATTTAAGTGGCAATTTGCTTTGGGAGTACTTGCCAATAAATAATCCCAGGAAGAGCAGTAACATCTGCCTGTATACAAACACAGCACTTCCTTTTGCAGACCTGGTAGGAAACTGTGCTTTTCCTTCTTTATATTTTTCAAATGTTTTTGTATGATTTCTTTGCTTTCTGAATACATATTTTTGGCCTCTCAGTATGTGGTGTTGCATACCTTTTGCTTCCTTCTTCCTATGAATCTAATCTCTTCAGCTTCATTTCAGTTTTCTTAACTTTATTGAATCAATAATCTCATTTTTGTTCTCATGTTTAAAATGCTTGACTTTTTTTCCCCCCTTAAGATTACATCTTATGCCTTTTTTAAAAGATAAGGTGAGTCTCTTTGCTTATTCTTTTGGTCAGTCCCTTCCTTAAGCTTTTCAGTTTGGGGAGAAAGAAGCCTTAGCTCACATTTTGGTTTTGGATGAATGCAGAGAAAACCTGTTTGTAGGCAGAAGCCGTTGCCTTTTTATTTTCCTAAGTATTTTGCAGTTCCCACTTGTCCCTGTGAGATTGCACTGCAGACTCCCTGTGTATTTCAGTGCTTGTCCGTTTTCGTGGCCTAAAGAGGTACGGTTTCATGCATTATAGAAGTGATGCAGCATTCACTCGGTATATCAGTATAATCGTGGCTTTTGCTTCAATCATAGCTAATCATCTTTTCCTCTGGCAATTCATAGAAACTGAGAGCTCTCTTAAGAGTGCACAGACTAGCAGAGATCAAGATGATTGTGGTCTTACCTGCTTAAGCTCAGCAGTTCTTATATGGCTTATTGCTGGCTTCCTGTTCATTCTGGTTCAGTTTTAGAAGTATTGCTGGCAAAAGTTATTTTATCATGTAAGGTGAAATTGTTCTAGAGAATTATACCACAAATTTTGTTGTTTTTGCCGTCTTATGTCTGTTATCTTAAAGTATTTAGTCTCTGTGCTTCCTTTGTTTCATCAAAATGTGGTAAAACAACATAATGCGTCTTAACTCATAATATATTAAGCTGTTACTTAGATAGTTAAGCAAATATATTTTAAAATTTTCATGCCTCTACTTGTGTGAGAAGTCCCTAAGATTTTTTTCAGACTAGCAGAAGACTTAAACAAGAGTTGAGATTCAGCTTAAATTTGTTAAAACTATGTATTGTGGTTGCCTACTGGTTTTTCTAGTAGTCCTCCATTACTGTGACTTTTGGTAGATTGTGAAGGAGAAAGATAAGCTTTTTCAAAAATATTCATTGCTGTACAGCATTGGAAACACGGTAGTTACCGCGGTTTAAAAATGATTAACAGAATCTAAGTTTCACTAGCATTCAGGAACTGAAGGGAGCGTTAATGTTACTGTTCTTTTTTCTTTGCCTCCGTTTTCCTTATTTACTGCACCCCGTTGATGACTGGGGTTAGTAGATCTTTCTGTATTTTTTGAGTTGTGTTGCTTTATCTGTGCTTTATAAATACTGTTTGTAATCAATATAAATAAATAAAACTAACTCTGCCTGCTAAGTTCATTATATTTGGGGGGGCTGTAGCTCTGCAGTATTAAGGGAAAGTAATGAAAAATTAAATATTTGCAAAGAATTTTGTACAATGATGGAAAAACTAGGCTTTGGAAGAGGTCAGGCTATGTCTCTGTGCAGATCCCTCGCAGGTCGTCAACATGGCTGGTGTTTACCTGGTGCTACAGCAAGAGGCTGTGTTAGGGCGTGCTTGTCTCTATCCCCCAGCACTCCTCTCTTGGCTGTTCTGCCCTGTACCGAGCAAATAAACCCCGTGTACACCTTAGCTAGTGGGGAGCATATGTATAGGAGAGGCTCTGCAAGTTGATTTAGGTGCAGCAGAATATACTAGATTCACTCTGCAACTTTTTTTTTCTGCACTGTTCCCTTTATAGATCCCCTAAAATAGGGCATTGCAGTCAGTTTGGTTTAGGCTGGGGTCTGCAGCCCCCAAAGGCAGCCAGACTTGACACCTGAACTGCCCCAAAGACCCTTCTACGTGAGCTAACTTGTTATCTGAGCTAACAAGTCTGACCAAACTGAAGTTGTCTCTGCGTGAAGCCAATTCTGGATTGCCTGCATCTGTGCTCTGGGCTGATCTACAGCCCAGATCAACTGCTCTGATAATTGAAGGATTGACTGAACTAATGTGTCCCGCAGAGATGGCTTCTGTGGAGCAGAACTTAACGTTTTTGTTAAGATCTTCACTGTAATATCCCGTTGATAGTCATCTGCCTGCCTCACCTGCATGGCTGGGACAGGGAACACAAGCTGTATCAGCTATTTTCTGTAATTGTAAAACCCAAAGGATAACCAGGGATTAGGGATCGCTCTAGGCTAATGAACTTTATGGGTGCAAACGATTGCAAATGAAAGAACAGTGACAGCTTCTGTAAGGAAAATGTTTATCAGTTTGTCAATGCTGTTATAAGTACATTATTACAAATTTGATGCAACAAGTCTACTTCTAATTTTTAAAAGCTGTTTTTCTCTATATAAGTTATACCTGCCATTTGTTCTACTTAGACGTGTGAACGAACAGAAATCTAGGATTTGAGCATCCAGCTAATCTGAACTGAATTTGCTGTTATTTGCACCTGTGAAAGGTAGATGTGAAATCAATTTCAAATTTGAGCTGAGAAAGTAAGCTCTCTGGCAATAAATATTTTAGATTCCTCAGTTATTTCTGTTTGAAGGACTACACCCTTAAGTAAGGGGAGTCCTTGCATCAAATGAAGGTGATTTGTGTTGCTACAGGGCTTTTTGTTGTTTGTTTTGTTTATTTTTTTTTTTAGTTTCTGACTTTGCATCTTACCTGCAGAGTTCTCAGAAATCATGGTTACCTTTGAACACTGAATGTCCGTAGGGCAGTGGTCTCTAAATCTGCGCCCACCTCATCATGATGCTTGTAAAACCGGTGTCTTTGTGCCAACCAAAAAATAGATCCGATATCCAGAATACTCTTTTAGGTCAAAACTTCCTCTGCCTGAGGACTATAGAATGGATGGATGCTTTTTAATTTGTGGTGACATAATAAAAATCCATTTTGAGACAGCAAATGTTCTATTGTTCATAATACGCCACTTAAGTGGTAATTTGATCTATCGTATTAGTGCTAATAGTGTGACCGATAATAGGAGATACTGTGTTGCAAGAGATGCCGTCTGCTGAATGAAATGTAAAACTGAGGTTCTGACCTCTAGGGCTAGTCTGAGAGGCTCGATGGCAAGAATAGGTACGTTAACCCTGGTATGCTGGACAAATTCCAGACTCAATAACAACATTCTTCCTAAATGTAATTTATAGCTTCATCTGGATGTAGTATTTTCTTTTGCTTATTCTACTGTTGAGTTTTATTAAACAGTTGTTGCCTTTTAAATTGAGTGATCTTTTGTATGTGATTTTGCTTTTAAAGGCCTTTGGAGTTTTGCACTCCAAGAGGTGCTAAATAAATTTTTTATACTGTTTTAAAAAATGCCCTTCCCCCCTAACTCTCTTAGTACTTAATGAAACTTTTCAATGAGGTGCCATCAGAACTTTTATCAAGATGTACGTTGTAATAGAAACTAATGCAAACTTGAACTGCTGTTTTCCTAAATATTGATTGACTATATGGCTACTCATGTACCGTAGAAAAGATGTATTGATCCATGATAAATTATAAATCAAAATTTAAAAAAATCATCTGAAAGAAATTCAGGAATAATGAAAAGGTTTTTTGGATACATATAGAAACAGTCATATTGTAATACTTCTTCATCTTTCTTCATTCAAGTATATCAGTAACAACATACATTTATTACAGAGGAATGGATAACATGATTGAGAACAGAGTATCCTATAGCCATTTAGCAACTTGTAACCAAGAACCAAATACGTGCGCAAACCCTTGCACCTGTATGCACTTTCTTGCATTATTGGGCCTGTAGGGTTGGCGTACTTATAGGTTTTCTGCAAAGTGTGTTTCAAATCTGAATTTGATGTTAAGAAGCTGTGTGCAAGTGTCAGCTTTGCAAGCTGAAGGAAGGGGTTTGGACGTGTCGCTTCTGTTTTTTCTGTTTTTTGTTGGAGCAGAGAATCACAGAATTCTTATTAGTAATAATGTATTTAATATGTAAATACAAGCACTTAGTAGCAGCTGTAAATTCTTTGATTATTTGCCAAGCTAAATTGATCACAACTTAAGAATTTAAAGTTTAATGTTCAAGAAAAAATTTCCTTCCTTTCCTTCTTCAATAGCTCCAAAGATTACTTTGGTAATACCAGATTACTTTGTTAATGGGTGAATACTACGTAGTGTGGTTTAATTTATTTTGCATTCTTCCTTCAGAGTAGAAGCAATGCTTTCTTTTTCACTTTTCATTTGATAAATTGGCAATTTTTTGTTTAAAACTATTAGTAAATGATTTGAAAATGTGTTTAAAAGAGTTGGACTATATAACAAATCTAACATACAGTGACAGTGAAAAATGTATGACTGCTAAATTTTAATACTATGGATTTTGTGTAGATCACGATCAAGACCTCGTCAACGTTCTTATAGTCGAAGTAGTGAAAGATCCAGTCATAGGAGAACTCATAGCGGGTCTCGTGAAAGAGAGCGGCGTAAAGGCAGAGAGAAAGAAAAAATAAAAGAGAAGGGCAAAGGAAAAGAAAAGGAGATATGTGGCACGAAGCATGGGTAAGTGAAATGACAAACAATATAACTATAATAAAAACAGGGAACAATTTAGTGTTGTTTTACTTTTTTGTAATCAGTTTGTTTTATAGTACGTGATATTTTATATAAGCTAAGTGGAAATTATTTAAAATCTTTGAATAGTGTGATCTTAGTATTTTAAAATTCTGGAATGTGACAACATTTCAAACTAAATGGTGGTTTAATTTACAATTCTTTTTTCCCTTTGATTTGCAAATACGTTAAATAGCTTTCTTCAATAGATTAATATAAATATTTTTCCAAAACATAATAACCACAATTTAAGGAAAAATGAGGAGTATTGGAAAGTATGAAGACTATTTCCTATGAGAAGATGGTTTTCATTGTTCACCTGCCCTGTCCCGCGTTGTCAGAAGTTTCCATTGGGCTTCATTTGGGGCTCAAAGTACAGTTTCAGCAGAAGCACTTGCTATGGGTGAACGATGGACTGCCTTTCAAAACCTGCTGTCAACCTAATTTCTGCTCGAAAAGACTTGGATTTTTGATCTTGTTTTTACAGATTTTGGAAAAGGCAATTTATGTAATTACCTCTGCTTTATACACCTTGAACTTCTGCAACCTTTACTGTGGTGTTTATCTTTTCCCTGTTTATGTGATTGGTTTCAAAAAGGAAGACGCTGGTGTGTCATTTCATGAATTTCCCTTCCGTGGATTTCCACTGAAGCGCTAAATGGGAATTTCTAGAGTAGCATCCCCCACCTACGTTCATGGAGGTGTCTCACAATTACCTCCTCGGTTTTATGGCTTCGTGATATTAGCTATTTAGTCTCTCAGATAACATTACCTACTTGTCTATGGTTATAGCATTGATAATGTAAATACTCAGGATTAGCTATTTGCATGTTTTTGTATTATTTGCAGTACATTACTTAGACTGCTGGGAACTTCAAGAATGGCGTCTTCCGTTCATTTTAAGGGATACTTTCCTCATTTTACTAAACCGTGTCGGATATTTGTCTCTCCTTGCTATGGATGTTTTCAGCAATCAGTAGCGTTCAATGTAAACAGAACCCCGGAGATGTTTGCAGTATGTCTGATAAGTCACAAACAAGATGCCTTTTACCCATTTACCTGAAGTTCAAATATATTTTGGTACTTCTAGAAGACTTGAGGACAAGCCTGGATGTTCCAGCCAATTTTTTTTTTTTTTAATTGAAGTAGAAAAGTAGGAAAAGGATCCATACTGAGCACATAACATTTGGTGTGTGAGAGGTTTTCTGGACTTTGTGTAGAAGCACATCTTAAATCATGTTGGAGTATATAGCAGTGCTCTATTAGCTTACTGCCTGACTTTATGTCCTTTTATAACAAGGATCAATATGAGATAGCTGTAGGAAGAACACGGAAGTGCCCAGAATTTTTTTGGAAGCAAGCAATTTATCTTTGTATTTTGATAACTTACAAAATTGCTTATGCTAAATTTGAAAACAAAATGCCCTGTTTGGGTCATTTCCAAGGTAGGTAGGACAAAGAGTACAAATTGATAATAGAAGCATTTTCTGACATCAGTCCATTTTCCTCTGAGCTCAGGTACTGACTGGTAGGCTTTGTACAGGGATTTCTTACTTGGAGCGTTATTAGACTACAAAATGAAATGTACCTAAGATGATGTTGATATAATCTGTGCTTCATAAACTTTTCTGAGGGGGGACGACGTGTTTTTCAGTTTAATCAAATAGTGATCAAAGTATATCAGTACAGAGAATATGGATCTGAGAAGCTTTTTCCCTTTACAGTTATTTGTCATTCTGAAGATTAAGACTGTATCAGCATCACATTATTGTTTGTTAAAGGCTTTGCAAATTTGAATACAATACACAGAGAAGACAGAGCTCTCTGATGCAATTGCTATTTGCAATTACTGCACAATTATTTGTCGATGGAATATTCCGTTATAGACCCCAGTAAGAGTGAATTAGGAACTTGCAGTTTTTCTTCCTAAATGCACGTGTAGGAACAAAGAGGGTTAGTGTACTTTCTCTTTGCCTTGTGTGTGCTCCAGGAAAATGAGGTAAGATGTTTTATAGTTGTGTTTTTGTATGAAGCTTCCTCAAGCCTCCCAAGCTCTCAGCTTTCTTCCTCTGTATTATTTATTTATGTATTTTCTTTTTGGGTGGAAAGTATGGGAAAGAAAAGGTGTCCTTAGCCACGGAAGCTCACCTGTCCTTAGTTCATAGATGTATAGGAAGGAGGATGGTACAACACAAACCGAGTGAACCTTTTTTTCTCTGAAGCATGAGGAAGAAAGTCTAAATGGACGTAAAAAGTCACTGTCAGGTGTACATTTGGTTGTGAAATACTGAGAGGAATCTGTTGTAAATCGACTCTCCGAGTGAATGAATTTCTAGATCTAGTGTCTGGATCAGCACTGAAAGTAACATTGCTCTACAGAGCCTTTCTGGAAACTCCAACAACAGGGGATCTGTAGAGGAGAAAATAGTCCTCTGGCCTCTGTATTTGGAATAGATCCTTACAGGTACTCCAAGACGCATCAAGCGCCAGACCTAGTTTTCAGTTTAAATTCATGTATGTTTGGAATGTATTTATTGAAAGTAGCTACTTTAAAGCTATAATGAAGATCATGTTAAAGCTGGATTGTGAGAAGATGGAATATAAATTATCAGGTGCTGGTTGACTTTATAGTTTAATTTTGCATAAAAGAAGGTATTTCAGTTTGTCAGCACTGCAGGTTATCTGATATAAGTAGTCATATATTTGGGACTTGTCTGTTCCTCTAAAGTGGAAAATCAAAATGCAATTTTTGCACTAATTAAGGAGCAAATGGTTTTATTTGTTTGTGGCTCATATGAACTCTAATGATAATTTTCTTTTCTGCCCTTGGCTTGTGTATGTTTATAGATGGGAGGGGGAAAGGCTTGTGTTTGGTTTTGAAAGAATCTAAAGTTGCCCTGATTTAAAAGTAGATCTTGTCTTCGCAGTAAACATCTCGAGAGATTTCAAGAGTAAAAAATTCTGCAATAGTAATACAGTCATCGTCCTTTGGCATCCTCCATTTCAGTGAAGATGCTTTAAGGTTGAGCACTGAACTTCTTGAATGTTGGAGAAGTGTCAGATGTTTCGTGGAGACAGGCTGTATTACAGTCATAGCCAAACAGCTGAACTCTTCTGTTCTTACAATCTGAAATGTTTTAAGGGATATACTATTTGTTCAGCCATTATGGAGGGAGATTGTAGTAACAGCTGCTTTGAATTTGGGTTGGGAAGCATCTGACAGTACTTGGTGAAAAAACCTGGCGTTAAGAGCAGTCTGTCAAGCTTTGAAATAGTTTTGTACTCACTTAAAAGGTAAAGCAGTGCAAACTCAGAAGGTGTCCCAGCAGTACGCCCTAACTATTCATAAACAAAAAATGATCCATCTTTCAGACTATCAGGATTATTTCATTTCCAGTGAAAACTCTTTGCAAAATAAAGCGGATGACAAGCAGGTAGCAAGAAATGTTCTTAACTAGTTCGTATTCAACTACTGCAGTGCTACTTATTTTCCTTCCATTTTGCAGATATTCTGAACTAACCAGTTTGCTTTTGCTGCTTTGGTCTCCTAATCTCATAGTGGTTGTTCGAACTGTGTTCCCCCTCCCCCCCCCCTTTTTTTTTTGTTTTGTATTTCTGTTGCAGTGCAAGGGAGAAGGCATTATTGCCTGGAAGGATATGAAAAAAAATCAATAAACGGTATGGCTTTTTTTGAATAACTGTTGCCAGCATTTCCAAAGTAAAAGCACTTGCTTGGCCTTGCAGCCTTTTCTATTCATCCAGTCTCCCAGGCCAAGTTTCAAATCATATTTCTCTGTAATAACAATATTGTTCCCTAGTTATGACCCGTGACTGCAGTAGTGATGTGCACGTTATTGCTTTGGACCGTTGCTATATATTCGAACTCTACCGATGCTCATACTTTGTAATTAGCACACATGGTTGGCTTTCCTGTTCTCATGAAAGTTTAGCTGACAAGTGCTGTACCGAGGTGTTACCGCACCTTTATAATTTTTACAGGGTACGCTATATCTACTGATACATTATGAAGTGTTATAAATAAAATCGAATTGATAAAATAAGGACCAATATACATTTTGTGATGCATTATCATTTTCTGTTAACTCTGCAAAACTTTATAAAGCGTGGTCGACATCTGGTGTCTAGTTCTTACCAATAAGTTTTAGTCTAGTGATTTTCTTTTAATAAAATTTTGTTTATTTGAAAAAAGCAAAACTTTGGTGTTCTTTGTTCCGCCAAAGTAGTTTATCAGGCCCTACGTTTGGCTGTCCCATTTCCTGTTTTTCTTCTCTTGGTTTCATTTTTTTCCCCTTGCAAAAATGAATCTTATGTGAGAGTATGCACTCCGGGGTAAAACATAAAAAAAAAAAAAAGGATAGCATTGAATAGAAAAGGTCACCGCATAAAAAGGGAAGAGCCTCGTCTCTGCATCAAAGGAATGGGACAGGTTGGGCTTAATTTCCAATGGCTTATCAAGAAGGGAGTTGCAGTTCTCACAGTAGGCCCTCGCTGTGTGGTTTTGATTGATTATGGGAAAATTAGTGCTAGTCCTCCTGGGAGTATAATGATGTACTTTGTCCTATCAATCTGACTTTAATAAAAAAAAAAAAGCCAAACAAACCCAAAAAATCTTGTTGGTTGTTGGGTAAAGCTGAATTGCACTAATTTCTAGAGAGAAACATATGCTTAAAAATAAGATTTGAACTAATGACAGTGGGGTTTTTATTACAGAATCCTTTCTTCCCATTTAAAAAGATTCTGTCCCAGCAAAATAGGAATGCAAGGTGCTAGATACAGTCTGGATTATCGATCCAATGCTAATTTATTGAAAGTACTATATTTAGAAAAGATAAGTTACAGGTAAGCAAAACAGCTTTCTGCTGTTACAACAGCGCAAGTGTTACTTGAGCTCTACATCAAGACGGTTGTTGGAAAATGTTCAAGCTTCAGT